ATACTCTTTTTTCACCTTCCTTTTTATTCACGAAGTTAGTTTCACAAACTCTAAAACTGAACGATAATTTTATTTTAGGGTTTTAAAAAATAATTTTTCGTTTAACTTTTTCTTTTTTGGTAAGAAACAGTTTGCGTGGATCTCGCTGTGCACATAAACCGTTCCTAGTCGGCTAGAGTCGGTAAAGGTACTCATTATTTTTATTATTCTTTTGTTGCCAATTACCATTGACGACGGCACCCGCAACTTTGGCTGCTTTGGTTGGGTGCATTTAAACTCATGACTTCAGTCAAAGTTAAAAGTTGCAGTGTGCAGCCCCTTTTTCCCCCTTCACTTTTCCCCCTTGTTTGGGCAGCTTCACGATCCAATACTGTTGATGTCTTCAGCTACTTTTACACTTGAAATTTCCGAGGATGTTTTTACGAGGAAAACACTTCGACGCTCAAGTCAGCAATACTCGATATTCTAGAGAGAGATGCTCTCAAAGAGTAATTGCAGAGAGAGAGAGGAGTAGAGATTAATTACCTTCATCGGAGGTAGTTGGGGGGTATTTATAACCCTAAATGCTGACATGAGTCTGTACGTGTAAGTACCTCATTGGTCCACGTGGCGCTGCCCACGTGGGTATGCTTGTACTTGCTGTACCGGTGCTTCATCCTTTTGGGCTAATGGGCAACAGCCTAGGCCCATTATGTACAGCCCAAATTGAATGTTGGCCCTACTCCAACATTACTCCCCCCTCGGTGTTCGGTTGACGAACTGGGTTGAATGTGTCCGTGGCCCAACGTTCGAACTGGTGTATAGGATTGACGGATCTTGCAGCTCGTGAGCGGCCTTGTTAACGGCCGATCTGAAAGGTGGCACTAGTTACATATCCTGATGGGAAGGTTCGATCAGATTGCAGTTCTACAACCTGCGCTTCCAATGATCGGACAAGGTTTATACAAGTACAACGAGCTCATAAGTCTGAGAGTGCACAGGCGAGCTGATATCCGTAACCTCACTAGCTTGGGCTCGGTATATCAGCGAGCTAAAGTGGCTCACAAAAGGTAAGCTCACCTAGTGAAAAGCCATGCACTCAAACTTAAAGTGTTACTCACTATTTCAGCGAGCTCGTCCATGCCGACATAAGCGCGAGTGAATGTGTGATGACCTGAACCTTGAATACTGTCGAAGGTCTTGAAGTGACTAGGTGATGCTGTCACTCGAACATAGTGACGAGCTGGGATGAGGCGACCTCAACCATAGAACGATTTGAGATCTTTGACGAGTTGTCACTCTTGTGACGAGCTGGTATGGATGGGACAAAAAATAGATCCATTTGTTACGATCTGAATCTTGGGGATTTGGTTGATTCAAATCTCTGAGGAGATACGATTGATCTCCTGTATCTCTCTGCCTTCCCCGCCATAAATGCTGGCTCAACATTTGAGGGGACATGACAGCTAAAATCGGTGCACGCTATATGAAAGGGGGTTAAACGCCTGCCACGTGTGGGATGCTAACTGGCGCGTCAGAGACACACGTACGGCAATTAACACTGCAATTTCAGTTTTATTCTTTGCATAACCGTTTCCCTTTCCACTTTCCATTTCACTGTTTGTTTGAGTTTGCTGAGATTCTCTACAGCAAAGCATTTGCATCTTGAAGAACAGAGCACCAGACCGTAAACACTACACGTACACGTTAATCTCAGGTAAAATGGACTTCTTTAGAGAACTTAGAGAGCTACGAGGTAACCAGGGCAGAGAAGGGGAAGAGGAGGGGGTTATTTCTATAGAACCTATCACGATGATAGTGCCGTCGGCCCTGCAGGACTTGCTGGAGAGAATAACGCCTGAGAGCACCGCCAGTTCAAGCGTCGGAGACGATGGTGGCGACCACCACGCTTCATCGCCCAGTAGTTTGTCCTCTGAGGAGACACCCAGCCACGAGGAAGAGACGGGGAATGTGGTTGGCAATGAACCAGATTTGCCCGTGGTTGGGGAATGGGAAAATAGGGTAATCATGGGTAGATCGAGTAACTTACGGAAGGCGCCCAAGGACCTGCCCGCTGGATTTAGATTTAGGGCAGCGCTTCATCATGAAGTAGCAGACAGTGCGCCCTCAATAAGTGGGTATAAGAAACTGGAGGAGATGGTGAGGGCGTACCAAATCCCAGGACGATATTGCTCCGAGCTGGTGCACAGAATGAGAGGGCATGCACGGTGTCACAGATGGGCTGGATACCATTGTACGTGGATCATTTTGAGGCCGGCCTGCGATTTCCCCTGCCCGGGTTGATATTTGATCTGCTGGTGGATTACGAGCTGGTTTTGACGCAGCTAACGCCCAACAGCATAAGGTTCATCCTAGGCTTTATGCTGTTGTGTGAGAGGTTGGAGATACCGGCCAAGGCGATAGTGTGCAGGTTGCTGTTCCAATGCCAGTTGTGTCCCAACTCTAGAGGCGCGAAGTGGTATTACCTCTCTGGGAGGGAGAAGAGCCAACTCTTCAAAAATGTGAGGAACAAAGTGGCCAAGTAGAAGAGGCAGTTCATTTTCATTCGCGACACGCGAACAGAAAGAATAAGCAACGACCTCACTGCTCGGCTATCTGAATGGCGCATGCCAAATGCACATGTCAATTACCCCTAGCTGCTGCCTCGGGATACAGATTTGAAAAATCAACTGCTTGAGTATGCGAGGAGGGAGAACCTAATAGATTTAGAAACCCTGGTTATCTCGGAGCAGTTCGTTGTGTTCGGGTTTGTCGATGTGGCAAACCAGTTCACAGAAGGTATACTTTTATGGTTAAATGCTTAATTTGGTCCCTCAACTATAGTGGTTTGCACATTTTTGGTCCCTTAACAATTTTTTGCACTTTTTTGATCCCTCAACTA